GGTGGGTGAGTGAGTGGGTGGGTGGGTGGGTGGGTGAGTGGGTGGGTGGGTGGGTGAGTGGGTGGGTGGGTGGGTGGGTGAGTGGGTGGGTGAGTGGGTGGGTGGGTGGGTGAGTGGGTGGGTGGGTGGGTGAGTGGGTGGGTGAGTGGGTGGGTGAGTGAGTGGGTGGGTGAGTGATTGGGTGAGTGGTTGGGTGAGTGGTTGGGTGAGTGAATGGTTGAGTGAGCGATTGGGTGAGTGAGTGGGTGAGTGAGTGGGTGAGTGGGTGAGTGAGTGGGTGAGTGAGTGGGTGAGTGAGTGGGTGAGTGAGTGAGTGGTTGAGTGAGCGAGTGTGTAAGTGAGTGGTTGAGTGAGTAGGTGGGTGAGTGATTGGGTAAGGGATTGGGTGAGTGAGCGGGTGAGTGAGTGAGCGGGTGAGTGAGCGGGTGAGTGAGTGAGCGGGTGAGTTAGTGAGCGGGTGTGTAAGTGAGCGAGTGGGTGAGTGAGTGGTTGGGTGAGTGAGTGAGTGGTTGGGTGAGTGAGTGAGTGGGTGAGTGAGTGGGTGAGTGAGTGAGTGAGAGGTCGCACCGTACACAGCCAACCGTGCTAATCGGAGGAGCGGGCGGGCGTGGGCGGTGGAAGGACACCAAACTCAACGCACGAAAAACCCACGAGGATTCGCAGTGCATCGCCCAAATCGCCAACAACGAAGTTTAGATCCTAATGCAACGCAGAGCTCACGGCTTACATCAGCAGCGGACATCTCTCCCGCTTCTCTCTCTCTCGTGTTCCACCCAACCGCACTGACCGGCGCGGGGAAGTATGGCTGGCACGACGCCAACGACGGATTTGATTGCTCGGCCCAGGGGACCCCCCCCCCCTCACACACACACGGGCTGGCACGGTTGGCTAGGTACGGTGTGAAAGAAGTTCACACGTGTACACACCCAGAGACCCACAGACACCCACATACACCCAGACCCAGAGACCCACAGACACCCATAGAGACCCACAGACACCCAGAGACCCACAGACACCCATAGAGACCCACAAACACTCAGAGACTCAGATACTCAGAGACCCACAGACACCCACAGAGACCCCCAGAGACCCCCAGAGACCCACAGACACCCACAGAAACCCACAGACACCCATAGAGACCCACAGATACTCAGAGACCCACAGACACCCACAGAGACCCACAGACACCCACAGACACCCATAGAGACCCACAGACACTCAGAGACCCACAGACACCCACAAAGACCCACAGACACCCATAGAGACCCACAGACACCCAGAGACCCACAGACACTCAGAGACCCACAGACACCCACAGAAACCCCCAGACACCCACAGAGACCCCCAGACACCCACATAGACCCACAGCTTGGCACAGTTGGCTATGTACGGTGTGAAAGAAGTTCAACATATGGACACACAGAGACCCGCGGACACCCATAGAGATCCACAGACACCCACAGAGACCCCCAGACACCCACAGAGACCCACAGACACCCACAGAGACCACCAGACACCCATAGAGACCCACAGATACTCAGACACCCACAGAGACCCACAGAGACCCACAGAGACCCACAGAGGCCCACAGAGACCCACAGAAACCCACAGAGACCCACAGACACCCACAGAGACCCCCAGACACCCACAGAGACCCACAGACACCCACAGAGACCCCCAGACACCCACAGAGACCCACAGACACCCACAGAGACCACCAGACACCCATAGAGACCCACAGATACTCAGACACCCACAGAGACCCACAGAGACCCACAGACACCCACAGAGGCCCACAGAGACCCACAGAAACCACAGAGACCCACAGACACCCACAGAGACCCACAGACACCCACAGACACCCACAGAGACCCCCAGACACCCACAGAGACCCACAGACACCCACAGAGACCCCCAGACACCCATAGAGACCCACAGACACTCAGACACCCACAGAGACCCACAGAGACCCACAGACACCCACAGAGACCCACAGAGACCGACATACATCCATAGAGACCCACAGACACCCATAGAGACCCACACACACACAGCTACAGGTGAAGCTACACACACTCACACAGACTCAGATGAATACAAAGGACAAAGATCCCCTGTATAGCCTTAACAGAATGTTTGGGCAAGTGCTGTTAGCGAGCACCTATAAAGGCCGGAACGGCACACGAGGGGGTGGGTGGCCAGCACCACGCCCGGCCGCCTTTGTCTCCCCAGTGGCGATGTTTATTACACCGCACCAGGTACTCATTTAAGGCTGAGTCGACCTAGGGGAGGCCCAGGACCGGTTCAGATAATCGTCACTGATGTTGACACAGATACACACACACACAGACACACACACAGACACACACACAGCTACACACACAGACACACACACAGCTACACACACAGACACACACATACACACAGACACACACACAGCTACACACACACTATGGAGTGTGGCGCTAATGAGGGGTGGGTGTGGTTATCACCGCCATCACCATGGCGAGCAGTCGAGTCAATGCAAAGACCTTTGCTCACTGCACACACCTCACCCACACAGGTACACACACACACAGATACACACACAGACACACACACACAGGTACACACACAGGCACACACACACAGATACACCCACAGGCACACACACACAGGTACACACACACAGGTACACACACACAGGCACACAGGTACACACACACAGGCACACACACAGATACGCATACACACACACAGGTACACACACACAGATACACACACACAGATACGCATACACACACACAGGTACACACACACAGATACACATACACACACACAGGTACACACACACAGATACACATACACACACACAGGTACACACACACAGATACACACACACAGGTACAGGTACACACACACAGGTACACACACACACAGGTACACACACACACACAGGTACACACACACACAAAGGTACACACACACACACAGGTACACACACACACACAGGTACACACACACACAGGTACACACACACACAGGTACAGAGACACAGGTACACATAGGTACACACACACAGATACACATACAGACACACACACAGGTACAGGTACACACACAGGTACACAGACACACACACAGGCACACATACACACACACAGGCACACATACACACACACAGACACACACAGACACACACAGACACAGACACACAGACACAGACACACACACAGGCAAACACATACACACACACAGGCACACACACAGGCACATACACAGGCACACACACAGACACACACACACAGGCACACACACACAGGCACACACAGACACACACACAGGCACACACAGACACACACACAGGCACACACAGACACACACAGACACACACAGACACACACACAGGCACACACACACATGCACACAGGTACACACAGGCACACAGGTATACACACAGGCACACACAGGCACACACACACAGGCACACACACACAGGTACATACACACAAGCACACACACAGGTACATACACACACAGGTACACACAGATACACACAGGCATACACACAGGTACACACAGACACACACAGGCACACACACAGGTACACACAGACATACACAGGTACACACAAGTACACACACACAGGTATACACAGGCACAGGTACACACACACACACAGGTACAGGTACACACACAGGTACAGGTACACACACAGGCACACACACACACAGGTACACACGCACAGGTACACACGCACAGGTACAGGTACACATAGGTACACACACAGACAGGCAAGGTACACAGGTACAGGTACACACATACACAGGTACACACACACACACAGGTACACACACACACACAGGTACACACACACACACAGGCACACACACAGACACACACACACAGGCACACACACACAGGCACACACAGAGGCACACACAGACACACACACAGGCACACACAGACACACACAGACACACACAGACACACACACAGGCACACACACACATGCACACAGGTACACACAGGCACACAGGTATACACACAGGCACACACAGGCACACACACACAGGCACACACACACAGGTACATACACACAAGCACACACACAGGTACATACACACACAGGTACACACAGATACACACAGGCATACACACAGGTACACACAGACACACACAGGTACACACACAGGTACACACAGACATACACAGGTACACACAAGTACACACACACAGGTATACACAGGCACAGGTACACACACACACACAGGTACAGGTACACACACAGGTACAGGTACACACACAGGCACACACACACACAGGTACACACGCACAGGTACACACGCACAGGTACAGGTACACATAGGTACACACACAGACAGGCAAGGTACACAGGTACAGGTACACACACACACAGGTACACACACACACACAGGTACACACACACACACAGGTACACACACACACACACAGGTACACACACACACACAGGTACACACACACACACACAGGTACACACACACACACAGGTACACACACAGGTACACACACACACAGGTACACACACAGGTGCACACACACACGTACACACACACACACAGGTACACACACACAGGTACACACACACGTACACACACAGATACACACACAGATACATACACACACACAGGTACACACCCACACAGGTACACACCCACACAGGTACACACACAGATACACACACAGATACATACACACACACAGGTACACACCCACACAGGTACACACACACACAGGTGCACACACACACAGGTGTACACACACACAGGTGTACACACACACAGGTGTACACACACACAGATACACACACAGATACACACACAGATACATACACACACACACAGGTACACACCCACACAGGTACACACACACACAGGTACACACACACAGGAGGGGGGGGGGAGGCTGAGGGGGAGAGTAGGGGGGGGGACAACACCACGCCCGGCCGCCTTTGTCTCCCCGGGTGCGCGCGCACTCACCGATTAGACACGCCGAGAGGAGCAGCAGCAGAGAGGCGTTCATGGCGACTCTGAGGCGGGAAGCTGCGCCCAGTCTCCAGCGACTCGATGTGAGACCCAGAGAGAGACACAGAGATACAGGGACAGAGAGAGACTGAGAGACAAAGAGACACAGAGAGACTCAGAGAGAGACACAGATAGATACAGAGACAGAGAGAGACCCAGAGAGACAGAGACACAGAGACAGAGAGACACAGGGACAGATAGACAGAGAGACACAGATAGACAGAGAGACTCAGATAGACAGAGAGACTCAGAGAGACACAGAGACTCAGAGAGACAGAGACCCAGAGAGACAGAGACCCAGAGAGAGACACAGAGACACAGAGAAGAGACAGAGAGACACAGGGACAGAGATATGGAGAGACTGAGACTGAGAGAGAGAGAGAGAGACAGAGACCCAGAGGGAGACACAGAGACCCAGAGAGAGACTGAGAACTCTCACAGGGAGAGAGAGATCTACACCGAGAGAGAGATCTACACTAAAGAGAGATCTACACTAAGAAGAGATCTCCACTAAGAGAGATCTACACTAAGAGAGAGATCTACACTAAGAGAGAGATCTACACTAAGAGAGAGATCTACACTAAGAGAGAGATCTACACCGAGAGAGAGATCTACACTAAAGAGAGATCTCCACTAAGAGAGCTCTACACCGAGAGAGCTCTACACTAAGAGAGAGATCTACACCACTCAGAGAGATCTCCACCGAGAGAGAGAGATCTACACCGAGAGAGAGATCTAGAGACTTGGAGAGAGAGAGAGAGATCTCCACTAAGAGAGCGCGACTCTGAACCTCTCCCCTCCCCCACTCTTCACTTGCCCCTCCCCCACCCTCTTCGCCTCAACCCCGAGGTGACCTCATCCGCGTGACGTCACGGGCGCCGTGCAGCCACACCCAGGGGTGACGTCACCGGCAGGTGAGAGAAGGAGTGACGTCACCGGCAGGTGAGTGAGAGGAGATGACGTCACTGCCGGGATTAGGTTGTGCGACGTCACCGGCAGGTGAGAGAAGGGTGACGTCACCACCAAGTGACAGAAGGGTGACGTCACCGGCAGGTGAGTGAGGGAAGTGACGTCACCGCCGGGCTGGAGAACAGGCGACGTCATCCACCAGGAGAGGATAACAAGTGTTACGTCACCCGCACATCGGAGAGGGCGTGACGTCACCCGCCAGGTGAGCGAGATAAGTGACGTCACCACCCAGGTGACATGTGCGTGACGTCACCGCCGGGTGACAGAAGAAGTGACGTCACCGACCGTGTAAGAGTGTGTACACTCAGCCTCGAACGAGTAACCTGGGCGTGGTGTGTGTAGCGAAACGTCGCCACTGGGGAGACAAAGGCGAACGGGCGTTACACCCACCCCCCTCTGGGCGTGCCACAGTGGCCGGTAGCCTTCATAGGTAGCCTTCATATGTAGCCTTCATAGGTAGCCTTCATAGGTAGCCTTCATAGGTAGCCTTCATAGGTAGCCTTCATAGGTAGCCTTCATAGGTAGCCTTCATATGTAGCCTTCATAGGTAGCCTTCATAGGTAGCCTTCATAGGTAGCCTTCATAGGTAGCCTTCATATGTAGCCTCATAGGTAGCCTTCATAGGTAGCTCATAGGTAAGCCTTCATAGGTAGCCTTCATAGGTAGCCTTCATATGTAATGCCTCATAGGTAGCCTTCATAGGTAGCCTTCATAGGTAGCCTTCATAGGTAGCCTTCATAGGTAGCCTTCATAGGTAGCCTTCATATGTAGCCTTCATAGGTAGCCTTCATAGGTAGCCTTCATAGGTAGCATATTCTTAGGTTTTTTTGGTAAAGTCACGTAGGTAAAAAACTTTTAATTAAAGTAAAATGAAACAAAATAAAAAATTCCGATTTAAAGCTTTCGTGACTGCAGGGATTCATCTTCTTGGTTCTTTCGGTAAAGTCACCACGTAGAAGGGAAGTAATAAAATAATAAAAATAAAACATAATAAAATTAAATAATTATTGTATTACTTCCCTTCTACGTGACTTTACCGAAAGAACCAAGAAAAAAAAATCACGACGTTTTTTTTTACTTGATACGGCTGTCGTGGCTGTGACGGTTCCACCTGAAGACGGAAGCTTGTGTTGCCTTCGAAACGTCGTGATTTTTTATTTTGTTTTATTTTACTTTTATTACTGAAATTTTTTTACCTACGTGACTTTACCGAAAAAACCTAAGAATATGAATCCTTGCAGTCACAAAAGCTTCAAATCTAGAATTCATAGGTAGCCTTCATAGGCGCTGCTGCTGCTGCTACGAACAGCCTCTTGCCTCCTCAGTCTGTTGGAGGCCGTCCATAAATGACGTCACGCGATTTTGGACGATTTTTGACCCCCCATCTCGTCACTCGGCGTCATAAAATGTCAGACCCCCCCCCCCCTCAAATATGACGTCACAAAGCCCTGCCCCCCCCCCCAAAAAAGATAAAACATGCTTCAAATCGTATTCTTAGGTTTTTTCGGTAAAGTCACGTAGGTAAAAAAATTTAATTAATGAAAGTAAAATAAAAAATAAAATTAAAAATCACGACGTTTCGGAGGCAACACAAGCCTCCGTCTTTAATTTTAATTTTCTACCTACGTGACTTTACCGAAAAAACCTAAGGATATGAATCCTTGCAGTCACGAAAGCTTCAAATCTAGAATTAATACCCTCTACAGGGAGGAATTCCACCTATCTATTAGAGTTTTTCATTTACTTGATACAGCTGTCGTGCTGTGACGGTTCCACCTGAAGACGGAGGCTTGTGTTGCCTCCGAAACGTCGTGATTTTTATTTTATTTTTATTTTACTTTAATTAATTTTAATTTTTTACCTACGTGACTTTACTGAAAAAACCTAAGAATATGATTCCTTGCAGCCACGAAAGCTTCAAATCTGGAATGCTTCAAATCGCTTTAAACTATTGTCATTGTAGTGCGTATTTAATGCGGCGCTGCACTCTGATGTTGTAGGAGAAAACATTTATTAAAACGTATATTTAATTAAGTAGAACGTGTTGTCTATATTTATTTAAAGTTGCGCATTTTGATGTGACGTCACATTTCTCAACCCCTCCCCCCTTCGTTACAAATGTCTGACCCCCCCCACCCACCTAGGTGCGTGACGTCATTTATGGACGGCCCCCTACACAAATATATAAATAATAAGGCGTCCATACCAAATGTAAATTGCTTTAAAGTAGCGAATTAATTTATTAATTGATGACGATTTTGATACAGACGTCCACTGTCACCGGATCTGAGTACGCGTGGAAAATGTGGAATTGAGTGGACAACGGGAAATGGACGAAATTTTGATTGCAAGATTTGACCGCGACAAGCAGAGGAATCAACTTCTTGCTTCTTTCGGTAAAGTCACGTAGAATGGAAATAATAAAATAATAAAAATAATACAATAAAATAATATACTATATTATTTTATGTTGAATGGAAATAATAAAATAACAAAAATAATAAAATATAATAATATACTATATTATTTTATGTTGAATGGAAATAATAAAATAATAATAAAATAATTAAATTAAATCATATACTTTATTATTTAATGTTTTATTTTTATTATTTTATTATTTCCATTCTACGTGACTTTACCGAAAGAACCAAGAAGATGAATCCCTGCAGTCACGAAAGATTTAAATCAGAGGAATCAAGTTCAGTAAAACTGTTGGAACAAAAAGATCGATTTAAGGGGAGACAAAGGCGGCCGGGCGTGCCACAGTGGCCGGTAGACTTCATAGGCGGGGCTGCCACTTACTAGGAACAGCCTTTTTCGATTAAAAGCTTTCGTGACTGCAGGGATTCATAGGAACAGCCTCTTGCCACGTCAGTCTGTTGGGGGCTATAGCACGGGACGGGAGGGGTGGTGTGGGGTGTGGGGGTGGGGTGGTATGGGGGTGGTGTGGGGGGTGGGGTGGTGTGGGGGTAGTGTGGGGGTGGAGTGGTGGTGTGGGGTGGTGGTGTGGGGTTGGTGTGGGGTGGGGGTTAGTGTGGGGGTGGTGTGGGGTGTGGGGGTAGAGTGGTATGGGGGTGGTGTGGGGGTGGGGTGGTGTGGGGGTAGTGTGGGGGTGGAGTGGTGGTGTGGGGTGGTGGTGTGGGGTTGGTGTGGGGTGGGGGTAGTGTGGGGGTGGTGTGGGGTGGTGTTGGGGGTGGTGGTGTGGTGTGAAGTGTGGGGTGGTGGTGTGGTGTGGGGTGAAGTGTGGGGTGGTGTGTGGGGTGGTGGTGTGGTGTGAAGTGTGGGGTGGTGGTTGGGGTGGTGGTGTGGGGTGGTGTGGGGTGAAGTGTGGGGTGAAGTGTGGGTGGTGTGTGTGGGTGGTGTGTGTGGGTGGTGTGTGGGTGTTGTGGGGTGAAGTGTGGGGGGCACCTTCCCACACCCTCTTCCGAGACATTCGCTCGGCGTGCACGGACCGTGGTGGTGGTGCTGATGATGATGTTGATGATGATGTTGATGATGATGTTGATGATGTTGATGGTGCTGTTGATGGTGCTGTTGGTGATTGATGATGCTGTTGCTGATGCTGTTGGTGAATGATGCCGATGCTGCTGATGATGCCGATGCTGCTGATGATAATGCTGCTGCTGATGATGTTAATGATGCTGATGCTGATGATGCTGATGATGACGCTAATGATGCTGATGATAATGCTGCTAGTTTAGATCTTAAGTTTTCGTGACTTCTTTCGGTAAAGTCACGTAGGTATAACATATAATAAAAACCGTTTTTTTTATAAAATTGTCCACTACAGTAATTGTATGTATTGCTGTGGTTTCCCACCTGATGACGGAAGCTTGTGTTGCTTCCGAAACGTTGCGATTTAATTTATTTTGATTATTTTTTATTTAGAAAAATTGTTTTTATAAAAAAGTATTTTATTTTATTTTATACCTACGTGACTATACCGAAAGAACCAAAGAAGATAATGCTGCTGATGCTGATGACGATGCTGATGATGATGATGCCACATGCTGCTGGCGGTGGTGATGCTGCTGCTGCAAAACGACCTCACTCGCACGACCTGCAGAGCACAATCCGTTTATTCAGCACGAACAAATACAGAGACGGACTCATAGACAATTACAGGTGTGTCCTTCTCTCTCTCTCTCT